AGTTAACTAGGTATATAGTTCAATATAGTTAACTAGGTATATAGTTCAATATAGTTAACTAGGTATATAGTTCAATATAGTTAACTAGGTATATAGTTAAATATAGTTAACTAGGTATATAGTTCAATATAGTTAACTAGGTATATAGTTAAATATAGTTAACTAGGTATATAGTTCAATATAGTTAACTAGGTATATAGTTAAGTATAGTTAACTAGGTATATAGTTCAATATAGTGAACAAGGTATATAGTTTACTCACTTTTAGAAACTAAACTAAATTTCACTTTACGATAAGCCGACGATCAGAATTATGACTATACTTTTTACCAGTTTTCTATTTCATTTTATCTTAAGTCGAAAAATGGCTAACCAGAGATTTATCTTTTTTTTTTTACTTATAATTTTTTATTATTATATAGGTTATTATGCATATGGATTTAGAACTAACCTAAGAATCCTAAGCTAGTCGAACCTCGAGGGACATTATTGGTTTTACTGACGAAAATATCGCTAACAGCCAGGATACCCAACTAATTAAACTGCATTCTAATTTTTATATGTAAGAACAGTATATTTGATTGGCTACATTCATTTCCGGGTTGATTTTTAGTTTTGATATTAAGTATATAGCTTGCTTTGATCAGAAGTTGATATTATTTACTATACAGAACCTTTACAAATGAATTAGAAAATCCATAATGCTTTTTCATGTTTAACATAAAAACGCTTTTAGACAATCTTTTTTTACTTCTTACAGTTCGCTAACGATTTTCTTAGTAGAGTAGCTTCTATCAATATTTCCTTTTTAGGAACGGTTGTCGACAGTAATTAAGCTTGCTTTTTATCGGCACATCACTGTACATTCAGAATACTATTTTCTATTAAATCCAACTTTAAAAAAGCTGGGAGTTTTTTTTTCTCTACGTTACAAAACTTGCTGATCAATAAAATAGAAACTAAAAGCTTTGATACTATTCCATACTCTGTATCATTCTTCTTGGGGAATAATGATCCTTGTTAGGTATGGAGAATTGGATAATCTGAGAATAAAACTCATCAGTTTTCATTAACTCAAATGTTGTTTTTAAAATTTGACACACCGGTGTGAGAAAAAAGTACACTGCAGCAAACTTTTTAATAGTGTTATTTTTTACGATTTTCAGTAGAGATGAATTGTTTGTTTTGAATTTAAGCACAAAGCTACATAATGGGCTATCTGTGCTCTGCCCACCACAGGTATCGAAACTCGGTTTCTAGCGTTGTAAGTCTGCAGACATACCGCTGTGCCAGTGGGGGGCTTCAGTCGAGATATACTATGGAAAGATTGAGAAATGTGCAGACCAAGTGTTGTGTAAAAAACAAATAATTACTCCCTCGAAGCCTATTGGTGCATCTTATTTTGTTATCATTTGAAAATATTATACTTAATTTAGCAAACTTAGCCTTTCTAATGTTTTTCATAACAAAGGGAACTACTCACTTAAACCTATCGAGCCCAGTCAGCAGCAGGAAGTAAACAAATTAAAAAAATAGGTCGACTCTCTTAGTGTTTTTTTTTTTCATTCGATGTTTTCACGAATGAAATGGAAAAAAGGTTCTATAAAAATGAACGGAGCTCAGGGTCGAATAAAATGATTTTGAACATCATCGCTGCTTATACGTTAACATTAATTAACTTTTGTACTGGTTAGTTTAATCCGCCGGTGGCTCAACGGTAAACTTCAGGGATTATAACACTGTAATGCAAAGTTGTATTCCCGCGGCAGATACAGCGCAGATAGCCCATTATGAAGTTTTGCGCTAAAACATCGCCCCTCCTCTAACGTTTGAATATTTAGAGCTCTGAACCTTGACCGTGCATGTAATGGGTTTCTTAGTAGTATCTAACATCTATAAACAGAGAAAAAAGTATGAAAATAAATTATTAATTCCTTCTTTCCTGTTAGATAATGTAAAGCTATTAAAATATATAAAATCTGCACTGTTTTAAATATTGCTAGAATATGTTTAACTCACCGACCAGTTCAGCTAAGAAAAGCCTAGAAGATCATCCAAAGATTCATACAGGACAAGCAGTAACGTTAAGGTCTATGTTGACTAAGATGTCGCTGTAGTTTCAAATTAGGCGGCATGGGGCCATTGTTGGATAGATTCAAGTACGCGGCTTGATGTATTATGACATATCCTTAAGAAAACCATGCATTTCACCTCCGTTACTACATATTTAGCTACTTTCAAGTTATCTTCCAATAGTTGTTTTGATGGTTAGTTTAATTTGTTTTTCTAATGAATATGTTCGTGCCATTAACCATTTATAACAGTTAATAAATTCTAATATGTTCTGCTGTATTAAGGTAGCAGTGTTTAAGCACTAGGGGAGTATAAAGTAAAGCAAGTTAATACTACCGGTGCACAGAGCAAACATTTGTGTCAAAACTAGTTTTTAAGGTAAAGTGTTGTAACTGAAAAGTTATGTAGTGTTACTATACACACCATTTTTACCACAAAAACAAGGGAACTGAAAACAGTGTGAGATATCTCTTAATGAATCTGTCAGTGATGATATACGTATTCATTAACTAACCTCATGGTCGAGGAACATATAAACAATATTTAGTTTGTTCGTTAGTTTGTTTTATATATTTCGCGCAAAGCTACACAAAGAGCTATCTCTGCATAGCTATCGTTAATTTTGAATTGGTATATTAGTGGGAAAGCAGATTGTCAACAGCACCAACGGTCAACACTTGGGCTACTTTTATCTGCCTCAAATAGTGGATTTAACTGTTACTCTTTGAGCACACTCATGGCCTTGAACTGCGGAATGCAATTTATCGTAAACGGGACGTGAGCCATGAACCTGTTGATTTACAGTCTGGGCATCATCAATCAGTACCTGGTCGATAATATTTAGCAGAGGCGTCATTGAGTAGCAAGCAATTTTTGAAGGGGTGGACTCTAAATTTGATCTAAAAAATACGCTGGATAGTACAAACGAATTATAAACAATTATAGAATTGTTTTCCCTATATTTGTATCTCATTCTTATTAATTTAATCAGGTTATCATGGACAGACTTGTGATGACGTAGTGAATCTTTGTGATCGTCAGCCATGTTTGAACAAAGCTACCTGTTGGGGGAATCAAACGACTTACCTTTGTGATTGTCAGCCGGGCTTTGAAGGGAAGAACTGTGAAATAAACATAGATGAATGTTTATCAAATCCCTGTGTGTATGGAGTTTGTGAAGATGGTAACAGTGGGTACAAATGCTATTGTTTACCAGGTGAGTTTACAGACGAGAAAAGACGAGAAAATATGTAACATTGTTATACTTATCCAGTATAAATTTACATTAGTATAAAATCAAGAGAAGAAATGAAATCTAGATTGGTATCGTTCCTCGAATTTGTTTAATTGATTTACTTTGGTGCCAGAACAAAAGAAAATATATTTTTATTTAGTTACTACTCTTACAGTTATATTAGATTTAATAGGAAATTTAATAGAAGTATAATCTTTCATCTCAAAAATAATATATTTATGATACTAAGAGAGAAATATATTTTACCCAAAATATTGGTACTAGAGGTAAATATATATTTAGAAGTGTTATCATAATCTGACTGATACCAAATAAATATATTTAGTAGTGTTTTGTTCACACGGTAAAAATATTATTGATACAACATTAAAGTTTATAAAAGTATTGTTGCTTACTCGGTGAGTGTACTATTGATATTACGTTAAAGTATTTATGAGTATTGTTGTTTTATTGCTGAGCATATTGTTTCATATCGTAAAAAGACATAAGCTTTATTATTAACCAAATGATTTTATTATTTATATCATTATTTTGCTTACAACTAAAACAATGCGTTTTGATGCTAACTACAGTAACAATGACCATTTTACAAACTAAATCAGAAACAAAAGAAATAATACACAGAATATCGTTATAAAAACAAACGCACAGATAAGTGCGCCAATCAATGATCCATACTTCATGCTCCGATACTGTATGGCTATATGAGAAGCTGGAGTTTTTATCCTCACCTATATAAATAGGTTCCACCACCTCTGTTTACTCAGAAAGGCTAGAATTTAATACTAGGTTACTGAAGCCCCTCGTTATTGTCCTCCCTAACATATGATAACACAGTATCCTCCATTTAACATCCTTCTTTCATTAGACGTCGTAAATGATAGTTTATTTTTATAACTGTGTAAAGAACCTTCAATAGAGTAATAATGTACAACCACATCCAGAATGATAAAGCAGTTTAGTGAGGGATTATTGAAGTAGATGTAAAATGTACATTAGGAAAATAATTGAATAATGTATAATGTCTCTAAGGGATTGAATTATACAGCCATAGAATCTTAACAAAATAATTAGGGAATACTTGGGTAGATGAATAATTTCCCTCGGGGAAATAGCCAGTTAGATATAGAAGCTTTATTCGGAGGGTATGCGCAAGTAATGAATTTCAGTTTCGCCATGATAGTTTCTTCTCCTATCTTACACTTCCCAACAAACATATTATCACGAGGATTAAAGATTCATATTCCACAAAGCACGAATACTTCCAATATAGTAAGAAACTTCTGGCTTTATACGTTAATGCCATAGTATATTGCTTTTTCTTTCTTTGTGTTATTCTATACTATAGTACCTAGTTTCTTATGTGCTACAAGAGTTTTTTTTATGTGGGACTTAGAACAATGTATGAATATTATAACGTCATAAACAATCCTGTTAAATAGTGCCCATGTATCTTAGTTAGAACTTTCGTATGTACTAAACCTGGGGCGTGAGAAATAAATTAAAAGCCAGCTGGTGCCCATAAGACATATTTTCAGACTACGTCGGCTTTAAACTGTTCATGTTATGTAGTACCTTTCTAGTACTAAGAACTCAAATTAAATATTGCATTTACTGTAGCGCATAAAATGTGTTATTAATAAAAAACAAAAATAAATAAAAACAGAACCTGTAAAGACATTATGTACGGCCATTTCGATCAAATGCATGAAAGTCTGGTATGGCCATGACCCAATTTCACCTCTGTTGCTTTAATATCAGGGATCATGACCTATCTTAAACCTTGCTTACGTTCAAAACAGAATCCATCCCGCCCTTTAACCTCCACTGCGTTAATGCCAGGGGTTTTGACTAATTTAAACATTTATTGCATTTGAAACTGTAGCCATAACTCACTTTAACTTTCACTGCGTTTAAAACAGGGGTTATGACCTAATCTATACCTTTATTACGTCGGTATCAACAATCATGGCATATTTTAAACATTTGTAACTTTTATCATTGTTGTAATAACGTACTTTAAGGATCTCTTACCAAAATACCAAACAAACGTAAATAGACAACATAATTTATGTAAACCTGTCTTGATTTTTATTCAAGTAACATAACTTGTGACATGTAGAACAATAACATACTGATTCAATTTTTAATTATTTATTATAATACGTTGGAACAAAATGTATTCGTGTTAATAAAACATGTGACCTAAAGCAAAAATATGGGAATATAATGCACTATTGTTGGTATTCAACAAGTTAAACGTTAATGACAGTGGCCATGACGAATTTTAAACGTTTATTCTGTTAATACCAAAAGTCATAATTCGCTTCAAACATTATTACGTAAATAAAAGAAGCTGTATGTGTGTAATTAAGCACAAAGTTACACAAGGGGCTCTCTGTACGCTGCCCACGACAGGTATCGAAATCCGGTTTCTAGCGTTTTAAGTCCGCGGGCATACTGCTGTACTACTCAGGGGCAAAAGAAGCTGTGCTCGTTTTAGACATGTATTGCTGTAAGGTAAAATAAACAGACTATTAAAGCTATGTGAAGTTCATCTCCTGTAATACCAGAATTCATTAGAATTCATGAAGTTACACAAAAAATAGTTTGCATGATAACAATGATAATACATGTTTTGTTTTAAAGAGAGCCGTAGTAACTTTTTCCATAAACTAACGAACACATTTTAGAATATATTATTTCACTTTGAAAAAAAAAAGCCTTTAAATATATAATACCACTCTGTGGTTTCATGTGTTTGTGTGTGTGTGTGTGTGGTACGCTTAACACCACAATACGCGTCTATTACAATTGTTAATATTTCATGGAACAATTGTTCTCAACCTGTGGGGGTCGCACAATTGCTGGAAGAAGGGACGCGGGATATCTTAGAAAAACATTGAAATAAACCGGGCACCCAGAGCGCTTAAAGTTTTAAAGTGGTTGACGACGGGAAAGAAAAAATAGATAAATTATTGGTCTTTATTTTCACTCATGTTTACATTTCTGAATTGAAAAATACGACAATAGACTTTTTATAGACACAAATAGTCCTCTGTTGTGGGCATTGCTAGAAATTGAGTGAAAAATTTAACTCATATTATAGAGACAATTGGTTGTAGGGCTTAGGATGGAAAAGTAAGGGGACCGCTTTCCTATTCTGAAACCCAGAGTACGTCAATTTTCCGTATTATAATTTGCTTTCGTCACTGTTTCTGCGAAAGGCATTTCATTTCAAGATAAGTGTTTCCAACGCTATCATCGCTGATTACATTCGTGGATTTCTTGGAAGCTTTAACACTAAAGTCGACGTGTCATTTATTTATTTAAACAGATAATTCATATCTTCTTAAGTATAAGAAATAAATTAGTGAATATTTTCAAAATCGTATCTGAGTTTTGTCCTTTTCATTGCCTTTCTTTCATAAAGGTTACGGAGGCGATCACTGTGAATTTGAATATGATGAATGTGATTCTAGTCCGTGCATTAATGGCGGTGCTTGTGAGGACCTGGTTGCAGGATACAAGTGTCACTGTGGGCCAGGATATAAAGGTCGCAGATGTCAAGTGAAAGTAGATTTGTGCCAACATAACCCTTGCCCAAGCCCAGCGCAGTGTGTCGACAAAGGCAACAACTACAGTTGTATCTGCCATCCTGGATATAACGGTGGGAGTTCTATAAATACGATATATATTTTCTAAGTTTCTTCATTATCACAATTATTCTCAGTGTTTTAGTACATTGTTTAGCAGGTTTTGGCCTTTATAGTAATTAATCCTAATAAGACAAGATGGAAACCAATAAATTCCTCACAAAAGTTCAAATTAAGCTTTCAGTATTGATTTGAATTTCGCGCAAAGCTACACGAGGATTATCTAATTTAGCAGTGGGAAGTCATCACCACCCACCGCCAATTCTTGGGCCACTCTTTTACCAACGAATAGTGGGATTGACCGTCAGCCCTCACGGCTGAAAGGGCGAGCATGTTTCGAACCCGCGACCCTCAGATTGCTGGTCGAGCGCCCGAACCACCTGGCCATGCCGAGCCTTCAGTATCGAACATAAATTTTGCTTTCTCATTTCATGCCGGTGACTCGATGATGATCTTAAGAGCTTATAATACTAAAAATTACAATTCGGTGTTCGATCTTTACGACGAAAGCAGCGCAGATGGTCTTTGTGTATGTTTGCGCTTAACAACGGACGAAAAGTTTTCTCATTATGAGGCGATTTTATTCGCCCTCAAGGGGAACTCCCAGAGAGATACAATTGCAGGTTAGAAATATTTTTAATATTATCAAGGGATGGTATTCAGATCCTTTAATATAATTTATAAAGGGAAGAGAAACCTTTGATAACAATCATTTAGTATCACTATTATTATTATAGGAATAAGCACCTGTAGAATTATGAGGAAAAGCTAAAATAATCATTGAGAATTGACATTCGTATAGTTATAAAAAAAACAGACGCAAGCATTAGAATTATTTCGCTATACAGGCTAATTATTTGTCTATCCCCTCCCCCCCCCCACTATATATATAAATATGATATGATATGTGTATATGTCTTTTCAGAGCAGCAAAATAGTATTTTTTCTTTCAATGTTCCTGTTTCACGTCTTAAGGTTTACTACTATGAGAAATCAACTCACTCTCATGACTGCAAGAGCAGAAATTAGTACTGTTTCTATGTAAGATATCAAATCTTGTGCTAGCTAAAGCCGCAATGAAGAAATTTCGCTATAGTCTAAGCTATTACACCATTTCAACATAATTATTTCCACTATTCTGATAGAATTTTCAGATATCTTTTATCTTAATTTACGGTGACATGCATAATTAGTTACAGTGTTCTTTCGTTATTCTCATCTTATTATGTGTAGCATGAGTAGGTGATATAATGTGATATAGCTTGCTTAATGCAAGGTTTCTTCTTCTTCTAATCACCTTTGAAACTTAACTCCGTGGAGAACTTGACAAAGCGAACTGTTCTCTTTTCAGTCTCAAGGGTGAGTGCGGTTTCTTTATGTTCCAGCTGATGGACTATTACAGAATATATATAGTTAATTAATTATACTCCCAGTCCAACCGAATAAGTGTTACTAAAAGGTCAAGCTAATGGAAAGCAAATAAGGAGCTAAATCTGTGAGCAAAAATATTCCTAAAACGTTGCTGATGCTATTCGATCAGGCAAGAGTATCTCAAGAGTTGGCGGTGGGTGCTTTTAACTAAATGCCTTACCTCTAAGCTATAATTTCAAAATTACGGACAGCTATTCGCAGGTAGCATTTCTGTATCTTTGTGCGAAAAGTCTAAAAAAATAAGTAAAAATGTTTTCTTTGAAGTTAAGTACAAAGCTACACAATGGGCTATCTGTGCTCTACCCACCACGGGTATCGAAACCCGGTTTCTAGCGTTTTAAGTCCGCAGACATACATAGTTAGTGTTTCCTTCATGCGTAGTTTTTGTTCACTAACGGCTCTACTAAGATTTTGAAAATGTTTCATTTTCAAAATGCTGAAATGTTTTGTTTTCCATTGCATACGTTTTTATTATTAAACAAAGAAAACTTTGCTGGTAAATCACTGAGTCGTTCTTTCACCAAGTTACAAGCTTCAAAAATTCGAATGAAAGAGAAATCGTTCCGGTTATACTAACAACAGCACAAAGTTTAATGTCGCAAAAGTAAGGACGCTTTCGATTCATTAGTCTAAACTTTAAAACAAAAAATGTTTCCGGAAACGCTAAACATCAAAATACAGAATATTCACTAAATATAAATCGGTGTGATTTGGATTTTCAAATACATTGTATGTTTGTTTTTGTGTAAGTGCAGGCTCCCATTTATGTTCCCATCACAGGGATAGAACCTCGAGTTTTGGCGTTAAAGGCCCTTATGGTTATGTCTGAGCCGCCGGAAGGTGAGGCGGGGAAGATGGATTCTATAAGGATGTATCTGATGAAAATTTTGGTCTCTGTCGTCCAGAGAGACAGTTAGACTACAAAGCATAACATCTATATTAAGCCAAGCTTTAAGTTAACAAATGAAAGACCAAGAGAAAGACCAAATTTTGCTCGATGGACGAAAAGCCACAGACCAGTTATTAGTGGAACTTGCATAAAGAAACTTGTAATCTGCTAAATTAATAAATATATAGAAACTAGTTGGAAAACATCCACAAAAATATGGAGAAAAACATTTCAAAAGATAAATATACACTATTTGAAGACCTAAACGCATGTGTATTTTTATAGATTAAAATAAAGAAAAGCGTAAAATCAACGTTACTCGATCATCTGTAAAGAAGCTGATTTGTTACAGGATTTGTCGGACGTATCTAGATCCTTGTTTAGAAAATGTACATGAGGGATACAGGATTCGAACGGAGGAATAAGGTAGTGGATGTACAATATCTATTACTGAAAGAATCAGAAATGTCTTAGAAATAGAACATTCATTAGAAGAGTATTTAGTATATAACTTACGATGTGGAACGATCAAGCAGATGTACAATTTCCATTAAGAAAACCGAGTATGTGTAGAATGTCAACGTGTAATACATAAGCTAATAGATCAATCTCCATTAAACCTAATAAACAGATATCGAATCTCCATTTACAAAATTTGAGTGAATGTAGACACTCATGAAATAGAGAAAATTGAGTGAATAATGATGCCAGTAAGAAAGATTAGGTAGATGTACAGTTTCTTTTAACAATATAAATGTGATGGATGAAGAATGATCAAATATAATGATAATAAGTAGGGTTTTTTTAAAGCAGAAAGACACAGAACAGACTATCTGTGCTCTTTTAGTCTTATAAGTCCTCAGATTTAACGCTGATCTGCCGGGGGGTAATTAAATAGGTGTATAAGTTCCTTTAATAAACATTGGCTAGATGTAAAACCTTTTTTAAAAAAGATATAGTTTACTTATGACGTTAACTATCGGGTAGGTACACCTTAAAGAAATAAGTTGGTACATGTAAAAGTTAAATCAACTGATTTAGATTATCTATAAGGATAATATCGGATTACATATAATGATCAAAATTCACAAAATAATTTCTTCGGTAAAAAAATATTAGTTAAAGGTGAAAATGGTTATACCTCTTCTGTAATCACTTTTAAGTTATAAAATCCTGTTGATGGATTCAGACATTGTGATTATAGAAATGGTTGGTGATATATGAGGAATGGTTGTTTTTTTTAATGTTATCGCACAAAGAAATGGGGCTTTCTGCTCCAGTTGAGTGTTTGTTTGTTTTGAATTTTCGCGCAAAGCTATACGAGGTCTATCTGCGCTAGTAGTCCCTAATTTAGCAGTGTAAGACTAGACATCACCCACCGCCAACTCTTGGGATACTCTTTTACCAACGACTGGTACCAATGAAAGGGCGAGTATTTTTGGTGTGACGGAGATTCGAACCCGCGACCCACAGATTGCGAGTCGATCGCCCTAACCACCTGGCCATGCCGGACCCCAGTTGAGTGAAGAAGAACAGTATTAAGACGCGTATGGGAGAATCAGAGATTCGAAATTGGGGAGGGGAGTACAAAGAGGATAAAATAAATGGGGCCAGTTCTTAAAAATAAGGGTATCAGAAAAGCCAGATATAATAGATATAATTTTAAATCTCTATGGTGTGATAAATGCTTGAACTAGCGTTGGAGTAGGTGAGGTCAGGATAAAGAAAGTTATTCATTTCCTATAGAGACTATGTTAATTATGTGATTTGTACTGAATCGATGACCACAATTAACTCAGCATAACTTACGTTATAGTTGAATAAAAGTATAACTGTGACAGGTGGAATACTTATGTTTATGTTATGCTAGGATAGAGAAAGTTGTGGATAATCCGTAGCTATTATCTTAATTTATAAAATACGTTTTCATAATATCCTTATTATATGATATTATATTCCCAGTTTGCCCCTGAAGAAGAAAGGTCCACCTTTCGAAAGCGCTCGGGTTATAGGGTTTTTATTCATTTCTTATTATATGAAAAGTAGCGAAATTTTCAATATTATACATTTTAGTATTTGTCACAAAACTGAAAAAAGTGCCGTGTTTAACCTGTTTCAATTCACTCTACGACTGGGTGAAATGTTCTTAATAATTGTTGTACTTCATCGTAGATAACGTAAGAATTAGCATCTTTAGTTCTGTTGGTACTTCATGGTAAGATAACTTAAAAACTTACATCTTTAGTTCTTTTGGTACTTCAGGGTAAGATAACAAACAAATTCACACCTTTAGTTCTCTTGGTACTTCATGGTATGATAACATAAAACTTACATCTTTAGTTCTTTTGGTACTTCAGGGTAAGATAACAAACAAATTCACACCTTTAGTTCTGTTGGTCCTTCATGGTAAGATAACGAAAAACTTACATCTTTAGTTCTGTT